GAACAGGAACCTGCTGTAAAGCGGCAATTGTGCTGAGTCAGGCTTGATTTTTGGTGATCTTTTCCTGTTGAATCAATAAATCAAATCAAATCAACATTTATTAAAATCAGCTAAATTGTGGCAAAATGCTAAGCTCAACATAACTAAAAGCTAAAATGAGCTGAAACTCCAAACAGGAAACAGTCAGTGTTGGTCTGAGTGGCTGAAAGAAGAGTCTGCTGATGGAAGCTGGGTCCTCCTGGGACCACAGAGGATCCACAGACCAGTTCTGGATGATTTAATCAAGCGTGGAACAGGAAGAAGTCTTCCACCRGTCTGTCGGCTCGGCGGCCTCTCTGCAGCTCAGGTTTCTGTATTTTTAGCTAAACTGTTAAACCCAAGCAGCGACGTGAGGCGGGCTCAGAATCTGTTACTGCACACCGATCTGGACCCGCCTGCAGGGTTCTCCTGTTCCTGGTGTGGCCCGCACAAAACTGAGGAGACAAACCTTCACATTTCTTATTACTGAATAACAGAAACATCAGCTGCAAAACATGAACTAAATTAAATCAAACTGATGCTTTTATTCTTGACTTTCATCTCTAAAAATGTGCAAAAGTCCTAATCCACCCAAGCTTTCAGACTTTCTTGTAATCGTCAGATTTTCTGAAGGTCTTCGGCTGCTTTTTCACTTAGTTTTCAGTTTTCTCAACAGAGGAGATTTTGATCTGGACCTCCAGCGTTGGTTCTGATGTCCAGAAATGTTCCAGCTCTTTCCTCCACAGAGGGTGTGGGACATTTGAGAGGCGTCGCCTGAAGAATCTGACGCCTTCTTCAAAATGTGCTTCAGCTGGAACCACGTCTCCTGGGACAGGATGAATGTCCACCAGGGATTATTCAGTTAAATCAGCTGCTCACCAAGGTTTTCAACCTGCCAGATGATTTACTGCTCAGGCTCCGCCCACTCTGCAGGTTCAGTCAACCTGAGGAGTCATCTCAGCTGATTGTTTTATGGAGAAAATTCAACCTAAATGTCAACATTTAGCCCTGAAAGGWACGATCTAAAGCAGGAGGGTCCAAAGTGTGGCCCGGGGACCATTTGTGGCCCCTGAGCTGATTTTGTGTGGCCCTTGAAGAATTATACTAATTTGTTTACAAATTTGTCCCCCAGCACAGATGTAAATGGAGACTTTCTATGTTTAATTAGGGCAAAATTATCACAAAGTAAAATCTTCTTCCAATAAAGAATATTGGTAACAATATTACCAATTATTTGTCTTTAAATAACCAGGTTCTTAGCTTTTTCCACATCTATCTGACTTTACTCAAAAGCTGATTTTGCTGCCCTCCAATCTGCTTTTAATTAACTTATTAAATTTGTCTGTATACAGCAAGTATTTTCAACGGAGTGACCTGATTTTATTGATCAGAATTAACTAAATTGGGTTATTTATTCCCCAATTAAAACCTAGAAAATTGCAAAAATTCTTTCGATAAAGGAAACCTGCAAAACACTTTTAAACATCTGGATCTAGATTAATTTACACATCCATTTCCAGCAATAAACCTGACTAATTTATTTGTTTAATTTAAGTATTCAATGCTTTGTTTATTGTTGAGCAGGTAAAGGAAAAATATTTTTGGCCCTCAAGTCCTTCTGACTTTATAATTTTGGCCCGTGTGATAAAATGTTTGGACACCCCTGATCTAAAGTAATTAAAACATCATCAGGGCCTCGTTAAACTTTAATATTTATTATTAAAATAAAGTTAACTTATTCATCATCTGCTGTGTTTTATAAAACTAATTTACAGTAACTTCATGCAAATTATTTTTA